GGGGGAGACCACGTCGACCAACGAATCTGGCAAAGCAGGCCTTGAAGGCTTCTATTGTCAGGTCTGAGCAGAGTTCTAGATGTATGGCTTTGGTGGAGAAGCAGACAAACACGCATACATATGCTTTTGTGTGTGAGGCGCGACGCAGTAAAGAAGTTTTCACCAGGAATGGGCCCGCGAAGTCTATTCCCGTGGTGTGAAATGGTAGCGAGTAGGTTGCTCGTGCTGGAGGCAAGGCCGCCATTATCTGCGATCGCATTTCTCGCTTGTGTATGGTGCACACCTTGCAGTGGAAAATGCATTTTTTAACTTTCTGATTAAGTCTTGGGACGTAATACTCTTGTTGTACCATCCGGACCATGAGCTGTTTTCCCGCGTGGAGTAGAGTTGTGTGGAGAAAATCTATGAAGAGAGAAAAGAACTTGGAGTTTTCGGGTATTATGATGGGGTGTCGTTCATTGTAGGTGAGAACGGCGTGCTTAAGGCGGCCGTTTACACGCATTACGCCACTTTTATCTAGCATGGGGTTCAACGATAGCAGCGAGCTTTTTTTATTTACCGGTTTCGCGGCTTCCAGTTGTGCGACCGCCTCTGCGTAATGATTGTGTTGGGCGCATATGATGAGCCGGGTTTTGACGTAACTGATTTCGTCCTGGGTGAGTGTGTGCGTCGTGGGTATTGGTTCCTTTCGTGCGCTGCGGATGAACCGATACACGTAAGCGATTACCCTAAGGGCGCGAGGAAATGACGAGAATCGAGTGAGAGGGTCTTCGTTCTCTATTGTGTGATAAGATTCCACAGATTTTTGTTCAGGGGGAAAGAGCGTTTGAGGCGCATTCTTTGGCCAGCTCGCTGAGGGTTTGGTGAGCCACTGAGGGACATTCCACCATAGGGAACATGACGCTAGATCTTGTGGCTTGCATCCTCGAGTGCCTAAATCTGCGGGATTGTCTAAGCTCGATACGTGTCTCCATGTGGCGTTATTGACATTCTGCAAGATGAGGGAAGTTCGGTTCGCCACATATGTCTTCCATGTCCATGGTGGTTTTTCTAGCCAGGCCAGCACGATAGAGGAGTCTGACCAGAGTATGAGCTCATGGGTCGGCAGATTAAGTTGGGATCGAATATGCTTCACAAGTTTGGAGAGAAGGACCGCTCCACACAGTTCCAAGCGAGGCAGACTCACTGTTTGGAGGGGTGCGACTTTACTTTTTGCTACGAGCAAATGAGATGATGCCGAGTTTTCACAGTGTTCCACTCGGAGATAAACGCATGCGCAGAATGCTTTTTCGGATGCGTCTGAGAATCCATGGAGCTGAATGGTTTTATTAGGGGAAAACTGAACCCATCGCGGTATCCGTATTTCGCTGATGGCTATGAGGTTTTCTCGAAATGAAGTCCACTTGCGAAGCGCTCCGGGTTTGACGTTCTCGTCCCAATCGGTACCTTCCATCCAGAGTGGTTGGAGTAAGATTTTCGCCTGGATCATCATTGGCGATAGCCACCCTGCCGGGTCGAAAAGTTTCGCCACGGAGGACAAAATCTGTCTTTTAGTGGCTGCTGTGGAGTCTGGCAGGGGGTCAATAGAGTATGAGAATTCATCGTTGAGTGCATTCCATGTTACGCCGAGAGTTTTTGTTGAACTGGAATCATGGAATTCAAGAAAGTTTGTTTCTAAGAGGTCTGGTTTAGGTATATTTTTGAGTAGATATTTGTGGTTCGCAGTCATTTTTTTTAATGGAAAACCTGCTGATTTTAACGCACCAGTTACCTGGGTCATTGACGTAAGTGCTGAGTCGAGGTCGTGACCCCCAGAGAGTATATCGTCAACGTATATTTCATTTAACAGTATTTCTGTGGCTTTTGGGTATTTGATGCTTGAGTCTTTAGCTAGTTGGTGAAGCGTTCTTATCGCGAGGTATGGCGCGCAATTGACACCAAAGGTAACATTTTTTAATTTAAAATCTTGTACCGAACTTTGAGGGGTTCTGCGGAAAAGTATCCTTTGGAATTCTTGATCCTCTGGGTGAATGTATATCTGGCGGTACATTTTCTCAATGTCGCCATTGAAAACGTATTTGTACAAACGCCATTTGAGTAGAACGAGCATAAGATCATTTTGGAGTATTGGACCTGTGTGGAGGATGTCATTAAGAGAGATACCTGAATGCGAAAGTTTCGACGCGTTGAAAACTACTCGCACCTTGGTAGTTTCACTATGTGGCTTTATTACTGCGTGGTGGGGTAGGTAGAATGAAAAATATTTGCCTTCACGTATTATTTCTCGGGACGATGTGGGTTCCATGTGACCTAATGTGAGGTATTCTTCAAGGACCTTCGAGTATGTTTGTTGCAGTTCCGGCTTCCTTTCATGCGATCGCTCGATACTGAGATATTGTTGTTGTGCTGCAGGCTTGGAGTGTCCGAGTGCAATCGTGTCCGGGAAAGTAGTTTTAAACGGAAGTTTTACCACGTAACGACCGTCATCTCTGCGAGTTGTGGACTTTTGATAGAGATCTTCACAAAATACATCATCGTCAGTGAGGGATGGGGTTGCTGGTACTTCCTCCTGATCCCAGAACTTCTTGAGCAGATCATTGAGAGAGTTTGTTGTGCTTTCAACTACCTGGGTTGAGAATGATGATACTTGCTCCGTCAGTGGGCCGCTCAAAATCCACCCAAATATTGAGTTTTGGGCTATCAAACTTCCACCGACATTGGTTTTTAGGCCTGGGAGTAACACTTGGGGAATGACATCGCTTCCTAATACCATGTCTATTCGAGCTGGAGTAAAACAGTGGGGGTCTGCTAGGGGGAGGGATGAGTATTCTTGCAGTTCAATATATGTAACTTTGAACGATGGCAAGAAATGAGTAAGTTGCGGGAGTATTATCGCGTTTGTCGTTATTTTCATAGTTGAATCAGCAGAACAAATGGTAATCGGGCAGATTCTGTTCGCATTTTGCAGTACGCGGCCACCCATTCCCATAATTTCATAACTAGTCGCTTTTGTCGGCAGGCCAAGCAGTTTTTTTATGCGAGACGCTATGAATGTTTTCTGAGATCCTTGATCTACAAGAGCTCGAATTTTGAAAATTTCTCCATTATGCAGGATTGAAATTTTTGCGGTAGGAAGTAGGGTTTTTTCTCTACTACTCGCAAAATGTGAGAGAGTTTGTTGAGCTGCCTTTGAGGTTGATGCTTCGTTTGGGTTGCTATTCCCTGGAGATGGGACTCGTGCCTGATTTGTTTTAGACCTGGTGCCTGTATTTGCTGTTGGTGATCTAGCGGGGTAATGGAGAAGAGAGTAATGCCGTTTTTGGCAATAAACGCAGGTAAACTTGCTGTGGCACTCAGTTTCTGAGTGAGAACAGGCCAAACAGTTTTTACAATAGTTGTTGTCTCTTATGAACTTATTGCGTTCTAGAACTGAGAGCTCCTTGAATTTGACACAGGTCATCAGAGAGTGATTTGAGTTGCATAATTTGCAAGATACCTGTTTTTTTAACTCAGTGTTAAATGAGTGAGTTCTGTTTTTATAGCCGAAGGAATGAGCATGATTAGGGGTTGATGAGCGTGGGGTATAATTTGGTGTTGAGGCCTTGGGTTTATTTGGCCTGTACGTACTAAGTCTCTCTACGATTTCATAACGGGTTGTCAGAAATTTATTCATTTCTGACCAGAGGGGTAACTCTTTTCTAGAGTCGAGTGACTGTTCCCATAACGCTAGGGTTTCATCTGGGAGTTTTGAGGAGCAGAGATGTATTAATATGGGGTCCCAGTTTTCTGTGGGTACGCCATTTGATTTCAAAGTCGAGAGGCAATTGTTTATTGTTGTCTGAATTGCCTGAATTTTTTCCCCATTTTCGCTTTGAATGGGCTGAATATTAAAGAGGGTTTTGAGTTGGTTGTCGACAAGGAGTCTGCGATTTTCATAACGGGATTTTAATGCATCCCATGCGAGCTCAAAGTTTTGGTCATTCATCTCATAGTTTTTTATTAAAAGTGCCGCTTTACCTCGGGTTTTTAGCTTTAAGTAGTACAGTTTTTGGGCTTGAGAGAGTTGGGGGTGTTGTTTGTACACTGCTGTGAACATGTCCCTGAAGGACGGCCAATCTTCGTAGCCGCCATAAAAGAAATCAGTGTCACAAGCAGGTACTTTTAAGTAGTTTTGAGTTAGGGGTGGGGCTGGGGCTGCTGAAATGGTGGTTGCGCTTGCGCCTATCGCGTTTTGTTGAAGTCTGGGGAGCAGTTGGTTTATTCGGGTCCTAGTATTGTGGCACATATCGATGGCTGCGTCATATTTCATTTCGTATGCTTTCCTATACTTTTCGTCACTGCAACACATGTGTACAAGCTCGTATGCCTGTTCAACCCATGCTAGGTGTTTGGTGAGTTCCTCCACATAAAGCTTGAGACCGGCTTCCGAGTGATCCGTTTCGTTTATCTTCCACCATTTCGCACAATATTTTTCCAGCTTTGAGATTTCGAAGAGGAATTTTTTTTTGAGTTTGGGTCAATTCCTCATCTTCCGTTTGAGATTTTGACCGTGTCTTTACTCCCTGAGGAGGTGCCTGGAGGGATGTGAGTTTTTCCTGTTTTTCTTCCGCCATTATTTAATTTTTTGGGGAAGGAAGTTTATAGGAGAAATTGAGGTAGCTTTGCTGCTATAAATCGATTGAGTGAGATTGAGTTTTCGAGATTTTTTTTCCTCAAGTTTATATTTATTGTGGCTTTTCGTAAAATTTATTGGGAGATGGAGGTTATTTAAGAGGATTAACTCAAATTTTGTACTTGGGATATGCTTAATAAATTTTATTTTGATTTAAAACACTTTAACTTGATTTTATTTGCTAAGTTTTTGGGAATCGGAATTTTACTGCACCACACTGTATTTGCGTTGGTGCGAAAAATTTATAGGGTCACTGTATTGTCGGAGTACAATAGCAATTGTGGACTGTTTTGTTTTGCGCAAAAGCAATAAAATCTATGCGTAAAGATTTGAACAGTCGAAAACGATTTATGTATTTGCAATGAGTTGTTATGTATTTTCATACATATATCAGCCACTGTAGTTTGGCGCTTAGATATTAAGGGCTAGGTATGTATGTGCGAATATGTATACTTAGCGCCTAAATGCTAGTACATACGTACATACGCAAGATAATTTGAGTGACCCACGAAATATTATTTGGAAATAGAATCTAGAATGCTAAAACCAAAGAGCAAGGGAATATGTGTTTGGGGTTTCTCTACTGATTATTATTAGGTATGTACATACATATGTTTGGATGCATCAACATAGATTCGCTCTATGAGAACCGTTGTAGTTTGGCGCGAGTGCATACGTATGTATTAATGTATGTATTTATGTATACAGCGCAGTATTAGTACATATGTATATAGGTAAATGCCCTGACTGACGAAATATTATTCAAAACTGAGTTGGCGTAGCGAAACGGGAATTTTTTCTTTGGTACATGTACCCAGGCGGAAATTTGGGACGTTCACTTGAACAATAGTTTCGTTCACTGAATTTAATAATCATGCATGTATTGTGAGTTGGGGGTAAATTATTTGAATATGTGATGGAGTATATATGTTGTATATTACTGTGCCTTAAGTTTAGCGGATTTTTTCTTCGAGTTGGAGAAAACGGGATATATGTATTTGAATATATGTCTACATATATATGTAGATATACAATATATTTATAATATACTGTGTTTAAAGAGTGCACGGTATCTGTCTACGGTAAATGAAAAAGGGGTAATTCATTTCACCGTATTTTTTACGAAAATCCGCTAAACCTTGCAAAAATATGCGTATATGTAAGTATGTATGTTTGAGTAACTCACTTTGGCATTGCTATGTACAAACTCTTTTTTTTTCGTGTGGTGGTCTACTGTACCGGTGACTGGTCTGCTGCTATGCGGTACCTTCCGTCGCTACTGCGCCCAAGTTTCCGTCTGCCTGTTGTTGTTGTTGTTTCGGTTGCTGGTGGTGCTCCGCTACAGCTGTCTCAACAGGTGCTTCGGTGGCTGGCTGCTGCGCTGGACGATGGTAGCTGATGCGGTGGAAGATGGTTGCTGTTATTTTGCACCACTATAACAATTTTTTTCTTTTTGTTTGCGAATTTATGTTCTTCTTAGCACTTTGTTTTTGTTCGCCACTACTTGTTTCACTGTTTTCTCTGTTTATGTGTTTTTCAATGTTCAATTTTTGATTTTGCAATTAATGTTTATTAAATGTTTTCAGTTTTCGGTTTTTTTATTTCACCTTTCACTGTTTATTGTTGTGGAATGATTTATTTAATTTAATTTAATTTTTTTAACGCACCGCGCGCCGCTCGCAATCGAATAAACTTTTCGTTTTTTTTCGGGTAGAAAAAAATGTATGGCGATACTCCAGCTTTGTTTAGAGTGCTTTGCGCGTTAAGTGCTGCCAATTCTTTTTGATGGCGCGTAAGGACCATATGTTGCTCTTTAGCAACGTAAAAGGGTGTGTTTGAGTATATTTAATTGAATAAGTAAAGCAAATTTTAGGGTAATACAAATTATTCCGAGTTTATTCAAAAATGGGAAAATATAGTGGACTGTAGGTTAAATTGAATGTAATAAACTGGTCTAGTCGACGATTCGATTGCGAATGCCCCCATACCGGTGTACGGGTGCCGAGAGCTCACATTCGGAAAAAGTACATATTTGACAATTCAGTACATTCAAAAGGAATTCTAGTACAATTTTAAACATATATATATATATATAAGGATAGTGAGTATGTTCAGTTTCGAATTAAGTAATTCTATTACATTTCAAATATGTATATAAAGTAAAGGGTGACTAATTCTTCATGTAAATTCATTATAAGTAATTCTATTACACTTCAAATATATTTATAAGATAAAGGTTAGCTAATTATTCATCATCATCCATGTCTTCGACATCACGCCCGGCCGGCCGCGTAGAAGCGGATACTAGCTCCTTCAGCTGGTTGATGATGTCTTGCGCTTTATTGAGCAGCTCACGCATTTTACGACTCCGGGCAGCGGTGGGACTGTGCAGACCTCGAGTACGCCGGATTGTCCGACGGCTAGCATAGCGAGTCCTCTCCCTACGTCGGATCGTTGACGACTTCGCCAGCGTTCGATGTAGCAGCGTGTGGTGCGCCCTACCACACTGATGACAGCTGGCTGGAGAGTCACAGGCACCGGTGACATGGGAGGTAGCCAGGCAGTTTACACAATATTTATGTACTCGGGCTGACTCATGCCTTACAGCCGGCGTCATGGCGAGAAAAGCTTTACAGTAGCGCAATGAATGGGGGCGGCAACAAAGGCGACATTTGCTGAGCTCCATGGATGCTTCACTTGTCCTATGAAGAAATTAAATTTGAAACCAAACATTAGTTTTTTTTGCGTAAATACGGAGGGAATGGGAGTGAAAATGTTCTGTGGTTAACCACAGAGTCTGTATATTGAGGTATAAAGAAAAGAGAATTTTGAATAAAGTTTGATGCGTTAAGCATCCATTGTGCTGGGTGGAGGTGGTAACAAGCATAATTTTGCGATATTGCGTGTTATAATTCCCTTTTGGGTACGGATGTCAGCCACGCGAACGTTTTGGTCGGGACCGGGATAGAGCTTAACAATACGTCCGAGGCGCCAACCATTTGGTGGGAGGTTGTCTTCTTTGATGACGACGAGGTCTTCCACTGCGATATTGGGTTCTTTGCCTTTCCACTTATGCCGTTTGTGTAGCTCTTGCAAATATT